TCACCATGAAATTCGAGCGTCCGGACGGCGATAGGTGCATTGGTGCTTGGAATTTTTGGACCACAAGACGGTTTACCTCATCACTATCAATTCGAGTTGACGGTGAGTGAATACACCCAGCTTGATGTACTGTTTGATGATCCGCTGGCCAAGACCCTCGACATACGCCACAAACGTTTCAACGGCAGCAATAAGTAGCATCATTTAAAAAAGGATGACGCGGGGTAATACAGCACTTCTAACTTTATCCTGATGCCCCCCATGTTCAACGCTTCCAACGTCCCAAAAAAATTTAGGGGGATACACGGCTACCGCTTATGGCGCCCCAGCATATAACTAGTCTCAGCCACGGATTGGGGTGCTGAAGTTGCCCGGGATGTAGTCGGAGGTAGCGACCTCAACTCACGTTCAAATTCAATGTAACCTGGCTCCAGACTTGAGCTGGGCTGCCTGGGCATCAAAGACTTGACAGTTGTAAGTAATACACGTACCGCATATTCCGAAAACGCGATTATCAACCGTGTCGTGCAACTTGGCGAACTTTACATTGCCGGGAATAGCTATCCTTAACCCCGCCTCCAAGACCCTCAACTGCTCTTTCATTGCTCATCCGAATCCTGGTCTAATCAAAGTGACCTCCCCCAAAGCATGAACTTAGGGCCTCTATTTGGTTTAAGACAGGTACCATCTTCAGTCGTTCTCACAGATTCGGCGTCGGCGTCAAGCAATGTGCACACGGAAATGACCCAAACTTCGAAAAAGAAGCTTGATTGAACCGAGTGTTCAACGTGTTGATGGATATCTTTGAAACGTTCTGAGAAAGCCGCCCTCCATAGTCCCAACTCCGTTCCAGTTACATGATCCCGGTTAAGAGTCCTTGGCAAACAGCACGTTGAGTGTGAGAGATTTGAGGGAAGGCCTGGGAAGGCGCGGCAGTTGGAGAACTTTTGTTACGACCGTATTCATCATGAGTAGCCTGTAGGCCACCAAATACAATGATGGTCCTCTGGGCGCCGGAATCGAGCGATTAATTTTTTAGTGATTGCTTGAACGCATGTCCCGATGTATCCATCCCAGTTTCAGTCGCCTATCAAGTATGTAGTTTGAGAAGAGAAAGAGTACGAAGTCATTCAGGATGCAGACAGTCGTACTGTGAATTATGGGGCGATGGATCATGACACGGAAATTGCACGTGATGTGCCGAGGCTGTGAATTTGATGTGTCAGAATTTATCGGTCTGTTTCTTTATCCCGAACCATCACCGTCAGGCGAGCCTCGGCCTGATTTGACTCTTTGATCTCTCTGTCTTCTGCTAATATGAGGTAAATGCGCTTGTTACATGGAATAAGGCTGGCGTCTGATATTTCGATTTCAGTTTGAACCTGCCCGAAGACGCCACTCAGCGCCTTCCCCCAGAGTTGATCTCACAAATCCTCATTGAGGCGGCACAGGAGAATGTTTTCGATCAAAGCAACCTAGTCAGCACTTCTAGGTGCCCGGTCAAATCCTGGGCCATTGATATTGGCCTCGTCTGCCAGTGATGGAGACAAGTGGCACTCTCGACGCCACAGATATGGGCAGGTATAAGTTTATTCTATAGAGATGACACAAATTTCCCGCCCTGCACCCTTCGTACCCTTTCGAGGCATCTCCAACGGTCGATGAACGCCCCTCTCCGAGTCAGGATTGGTTTCAGCTGCGATACATCAATGCCCGAGTGCCCGACCGGGCTCGATCTCCTGCTCGAGCATGCTTCCCGTTGGGGCGAGCTCGTGATAGACTACGCCGAAGAGGGAAACAGCCAGCCCCCAGTTTGGTTCATCATCTGTCAACTCGGTTGGATGCCCCAATTGCGCTCACTCTCTATCGAATAGGACAACGAGGCCGGGCTTTCTTGGATGGAGTTGCTGGAGTCAATTTCCAAGAGCCTGTCGAAAGAAGATATCTCGCGAATAAAGCTATACTCGCTCTCACTGGAAGGTCTGGTGGGCTTCGGCTACAACCCGATGGACTACTTCAATTAAGCTTTCCTCTCGTCCAATATCACATCCCTCGACATCAACGTCACACCTGAGATAGCACTATTAATGCTAGAGGCTTGTCCAAATATTGTCACTGCGCGCCTGGCCCTCCCATTATCGATTTATGTTGACAAAAGCGTATCTGACTCTCGGCCGCGCGCATATCCTCACCTTCGCGATGTGACATTGGAGATTTATGGGCTCGACCACGGGGCCGGAGGAGATGTCGAAGAGCCGTTCTTCCCACACGACGTATTTTGCTTGATCCTGGATCATGCTATTTGCCCTGACTTCTCTGTCCCTCCTTGCCAATCGAAACTTACCGATGCTTCCACGAGGAGACGAACGCGCTGAAGCCGACGTCACTGGCGATCTCCCTTTCCTTCCCACATTAATCGAGACCTTCCTCATTCGTTCAAGCGTATCCAAATCACTGTGGTGATTCACTCTCGACAACCTCCCCATCGCAGACGACAAACTCATGTACCTCCTGACGGTTATGCCAAATATCAGAGAGTTGACTCTTGGAGATCCAGTTTGCGATCCTGATAGCACTCTGAAATCGGTAACTAGAGTGGACTCACACATATTGAACTGGATCTCCGACCCATCGAGACTCCAGTACCTTCAACACATTCGTCTCATCGTTTACTCCGATTTGTGTATTTCAACTTTGACCAGTCTGCGAATGAAGGTCACCAATGGAAGGTTGGCATCCGTCCTCCTCGAATTCATCGATAACAGCCCTGAGGAAATCGGTTATAAGTGTATATGCTGCACTACAGGAGCAAGGTGTCGCTATACGAGTGCGGGTGATGCATCACCATGGGTGGGAGGTCTTTGGCCACTCCGGAGTCGTGACACCCCCAACGTTTCGTTGCGGATGTACCTTCCGATGAAGCTACTTACCATGTCATGGACCGTGAACGTGATGACGCTAGGAACGTTGAGTACATAAAACCCCTTGCTAATATACGATTCCATTTGTATGCACTGGAAAGGTTTTGATCGCGTTGACGGTGAGTCGATTCTCTTTCACAGCTCTTCGACGAGGGAAGATGTTCATGTCTACGACGTAGCGGTTCCGCCAGTGGGGATCAAAAAATTCGAGTCACTGAAGAACGCCGTAGAGCGCCATCGTCGTCCGTATGGGCATCGGGCTGAGCTCAAAAACACAGATGTAAGTATAGAGATAGTTAGATGACAAAACAACCGTTTATCTCAGCATAACGAGGCAGCCCAAAAGGAGGTACTAGCATTTGTTTTGCCAGAAAGAGAACATAGACGATCGTTTGATTCCACGATAAGGCTACATTATGTTCTCAGATATAACATTCGTCGATTACCGATCCCGTCCCACGATTCCGCGGCTACAGTCTTCATCTTCTTGGTTGGCAGCAAGATCTTTCTTTTTGGAAAGAAAAGTTAGTGAGCGAAAATGGAGGTAGAAATCAGTTGACGTACTGGAGACCGATAAACGTTACACAAGTTCTTCTGCAGCTCATCCGCATATGCAGCTGTGGAGCGCTCCAGCAATCCGCGAGAAGGGAAAGATCGACGTAGAGCTACGAAACGGCCCTTCTAAGTGCCTATAACAAGGATAGTCAAATGTAGAATGGGCTGGTTCCGTGACGGGTGTGTTCTCTTCCCTAGACAGAACAAGCATCGCTGTGAGGAAGGATGGAAAGGTTCTCCGATATTGGTTGATGATTTCACACCTCTGTAAACTGAATATGTGAATACGACAAAGTCCAAAGGGCGCAAAATACGTACCTGCGCGTTGCAGCTCCTCTGGCTTAGCTGCTGCTATCGACCGAGTTGCTAAAAGATGAAGAGCATCCATGAGAAAACTCGTCTTCGTGCCCTTGATCATAAACCAATGGCTAATACTAGAAGAAAAAGTTGGGATTTTATCTTCATAGAAAGGAGTTATTTTCCACGGGGGGAAGCACCGTACGGTCAAAATCCGGCTATGACATTCAACAACTCTGAAAATGATCGGAGTAGCAATGAGAACGTCCAAGATTCTTCTCAGAGGAGCAATGCAAGAACGAGAGGGCTGGGTTGATGCTAATGATGGTGCTCAGAAGGTGTGAAAGAATAAAGCGCTGGTTGTTCGAAGATGGCTTTCCAGTGCTGGCTCATCTGAAGACGTTTTGTATCCAGGTTCACGACTCTATAAAGTGGAGTGATACTTTCATTAATCGAGGACATATACTATACCGCATGTGAACACTCACCATGACACGCAATCTAATCAGAATAGCATCTCACACCCCCAGTCGCCCATAAAGTCCTTTCCTTCCTCTTTTCCCAGTGCATGCAGTCTTATCTGCGTTTTTTCCTTCAGTACGACGTCATCGATCCGGCAAACTTGTTATGAAGAATAATCGGCAAAGAGGCAGCGTTCTCTCCGAGGTCCGATTAGGCGAATCTTGAGGTGTTCGTGAAGATTGCGAAGAATTGTTGGTCGTAGTTCGCACTGCTGCCCAATCGAGATTTTTCGGCCGTAATTAGAAAGGCAAAAGGCTTCGTAAAAACTTTAGTTTTACGGCCAAATTCACGGGCGTCAAAACAATCTTTTCTAGCGCGCAAAACAGGCCAGGAAAAAGTTGGGTTTTTACGAAGGTAAAACGTGCCCTTTCTCGTTGTTTTCCCTTTTTGCGCTCGTAAAAAACTTCCGAGATTTTTCCGGGACAATTTTGCGCTCGTAAAAATATTCTTTTTGCCTGGTGTGTTTCGTGTGTTTCTGCGCGCTAGAAAAATCGATTTTGACGCCCGTGAATTTGGCCATAAAACTAAAGTTTTTACGAAGCCTTTTGCCTTTCTAATTACGGCCGAAAAATCTTGATTGGGCAGCAGTGTCGAAAGGTTTAAGGAAGGGATGAGAGATCAAATTTACGGCACCCACTTCTTGTTGCGCTTAAACCGCCGGGATTCGTATCTCGGTGTAGATACCAGACTTTTCTGATCAAACAATCCGATGTGGTGTAGTGGCTGACATTGCTGTCTTTCAAGCCTTCGAGCGTATTTAATCACAGCAGCCCGGGGTTCGATTCCCCGCATCGGAAATTCTATACTCCAGCGCTTCTTTTTCCACGCCTAAAGCCGATGACAGAGCAAGAACGATCTCAGCCTCTGAAATATGTCTGAAACGAACTTCGCTGTACACTCATATCAGTATTCCTGCAGTAAAACCCACAGTCGCATCTTTGGGTTGAGGTATGAGAAACCCTATTTAAAACAACTGAATTATACAACAGCAGCGGGCCAATTTGGATACGTAGAGTTACAAGTTGCATCTCCAAATGAGCCAAGGATAAAGATTAGCAAAAATCAATCTGGTCTGATTCTGTTTCCAAGGGCCTTTGGTTCGCTAACGTTACTTCATTATATAACATTCGGGGAAAAGAAATTATTGGGACGAGTGCCAACTCGGAAGTTACAGTTCCAGCGTCGAATCCAAGACATTGCTTAACGGTGTGTGAATTAGCCGAGAAGCCGACGACACGGGTATAGATCAAACTCACGTTGGCACCAGCAACGATGCCGCAGTGAGACAGTCGTGATATATGGCCTTTCAGGGTAGGGCGGGGCTAAAAGCTCTTTCTCATCTCTAGACTTGACTTCCATCATCTTATTCTGCTCGTCAAAGACCCGTTAATTCAAGCTTTATCTACGTTCTAGGTCTTAACTTCCGGGTTTATTTTCTCTTCCTTTCCTCCTCACAGCTATCCTTCCGAAACTATCAGTAGTTAAAGGTACAAGGGAAAGGCCTTCAAGCCTCTCCTGCCAGAACACAAAACCAGCTGCCTCCACGCGAGCACGGATTTTGGCCTTTCAGGTTTCGGAGGATCTGTATTTTCAGCGTCACTTCTTTTAGCTGACAAGACATCCCGTTCGAGTTTGATTCGGGTCGTGTGTCGTCAAGATGGACATCGCAAATCGACTGTTTGTGAAGGTGGCAGCATCCTGTGTAGCTCATTCATCCCCATGGATAAAGCGGCATGTAGACTTCTAAATGTTGGACTCTCTTGTAAGCGAAAGGGCTCATCGGATAGTCGCTGTACAGATCGGTCTCACCGGAATGAGCTTCTCAGCATAGTCGAACGTATACGCCAACGCCACAACTCGTATCTCATTCACTCCCCGTCTCAGCTGATATAGTACTCAGCGCTTGGGTGTGCTATCTAGGACCATTCATGAGCTCATGGCCTGAGTTATACTCAAATCCGGTAGATTGTGTCCTCATAGCTTATTCTGATTCCTTAGTACTCGGCCACAGCTCTTGTAGTCACTACCCATCTGGTGGGTACTTAAGACACGCATTCGGACTGTTTGCGACTTAAACCCTTCCTTTTCAACCTTGTAATTTCGAGATGAACGACAAGGAACAAAACCTTTCATCCCTCATACCAGGCTACGAGGACAGACGGCGCGAGCACTCTGCAGCTCGTTCTGCGTCCCCAAGGCGGCTAATCCTCCTACTCACGGTTCTCTCGCTCTCAAACGCAATCTCGGTCGCTCTGCTATGGTTTCGAGGGGCGGAATGGAAACATCCAGAATCCCAGTCACCTTACTGTATGTTTGACAGTTTTCTCTCATTTCAATCGGGCGGGTGCCTTTTTCTGAGATCATGCAATCCTCAGCGCCTGTAACCCACCTTATCGAGTACCAGACGGTCACTTTCGCCACGGGAACGAGTGAATACACAGGCACTCCGTCTCCAGAGATGGATAGACGTTGGGAAGATTTGTATCGCTGTGAGTGTCCAGGTTCCATTCAAGGTTGTTTTGTCAGGCTTCGTCTGATATACGTCTCTCGTTCAAATCCAAAGCCTCCGTGACACGTATCTCACAATCGGATGCCGAGCATCTCGGACTGCCAGAGCTAAGCAACAGCGGTCCGGATGAGTACGTCCTGACGCTCGACGTATTTCACCAGGTTCATTGTTTGGTGTGTCGATTCGTAAAAACCTCACAAGGGTGGCATTTTATTGACTGAAATCACCTCAGGACATGCTGAGGAAAGCCGTTCACTCGGAGTACTACCCACTTCTCGAGTCTTCGCATGTCGAACACTGTATCGAGCACCTCAGGCAGGCAATTTTGTGTTCTGCGGGTACGTTCAACTTCTGTTTTTCTTTTCTAAAGTTCATGTCGTTCCTTACCATGATGGAATTATCTAGACGTCAGCCCGATTGTCTACCGCTGGAACTCTGAGACCAACTCTACTGACATCAACAATCGAAAGGCAGCCCCACATATGTGTAGGTCCTTTGATGGGATCTATAATTGGGCGAAGGATTCGAAGAATCATGTACCGTATGATAACGACTCGTTTTAGCTGGGGAAAAGAATGGCGAAAGCTACATAGTTTTAGTAACTAAGTGGCTTTAATACATATTGTTCGGCGGTATATAAGGTTGGGTAGATAGATTTCACGTACGTTTTGGTGCCAAATCATGCTACCCGTTCCCACTAGCACTACCACTGACTCAGTGTGCCATCTCACTCGGAACCTCGTCAGTGACCTCCATCGCCCACTTCTCTCCCTGAATATTTCTCAACCTTTCAATCCTCTCCCTGAGCTGCATAACGTCTGTAGCATTGGCCCCAGCCGCGCGCAACCCTATAATCTCCCTTTGTAACTCGAAGATCTTCCCCTCAATCTCCATCTGTCTCTCCGTTCGAGCTCCAGTCCCATGCCCATCACCCTTGACGTCGGTGGAAGCCTCAGACAGTCCCATGGTGAACGTCGAAGTACTGTCACTCTCGTACTCCGAGATTGTGGATGTATAGGCCGTACTGAGTGGGAGATCCGAAGCGAAAGAGTCGACCGAGCTCATCCCATCGGTTTCCCTCTGGTGGGCGGTCTTGGAAGCAAAGATGGAATGTCCAAATAGCCCTCGATTATCACCGTGAGCCTTTCCCTTTTCACTCTCTTCATCCGGTCGATTGACCATTTTGTCGTTGAAGAAGGTAATGCGTCCACCGGCTGGTTTCCACCATTTGTCCTGGCGGTGCTTTCGTCGGCGACGGTAGCACAATATCACGACTAAGATCAAGATCAGGAGAAGCAAAGCCCCCAGGACTGCACCGATAATCGTGCCGATGTTTGGTTTACCGGTCACAGGGGGAGTGCCACTTGGAAGTGCAGCGCTAGGTGCAGCAGATGTACTTGTGGGATTACCCCGCTGGTGCGTGTTCTGCGTATTGGGAGTGCCATGTTGACCATTTGTCTCATTTGTCTGGCCAGATGAAGATGCTAACGCATTAGCCTGTGGTGTCCTACTAATGACAACCGAGGGTCAGCAGATCGTTCAAAGGTGTATAGCAGCCCAGCTCACGAGTCTCCCTTCGTGTTCTCCCCACTATTTGCGCTGGTATTGGGAGTAGATGGCGTAGATCCGGTCGTCGGCCCCGACACCAACGCCGAAGTGGAGCTCGAGGTAGAGCTGGGAGACCTAATAATGCAATCAGCAACTAGTTAGATAAGGAGTGAATAGGTGAGCTTACAGATAAGGGTCATCTTGTCCACTCCGAGTCATAGTGGCGGTAGAGGTGGTAGGGGTGATAGAGGTGGTGGGAGGGGGAGGGGGGTTATTGGTGTCAGTAGATGTGTCCGGGTTTCTTGTTTGAGCCGTGGGCTCGGAGGTCACGACAAGAGGACCACCGGGCAGAATGAGTGGACTACCAGTGCTAACGTATACCGTTGAGTGTGTATCTCCATGAAACTCGGTCCTGATAAGGCGGACGGACTTCTTTGAGTACTAATGTCTTCGCTTCGGCCGAAAATAGAACAATGACCTACAGCGGTAGACCTTGGCGTTTCTGCACTGATACTGATAGGACTTCGATGTCATATGCAGCCACGATGAAGATTTTTCTGATCTTCAAGGTAAGTAAAGTGCCAGGGTAAAAAACCGTACCGTACTTTTCATCCATGGAGAACGTCGATTTTCTCGTGCCCGTCTGTTGCTCTGCCTGCGCTGTTCCAGTATTTATGGCGCCTTTGGAATCAGAAAACGAGGTCGGCGCTGCAGCGAGAACGAACTTCGCCAGATCTACCGCCAGAGGTGTTGATACCGACTTAGCCACGTCGCTGCGTGTTGCTTGTGTCAGCATTCCCGTAAGACCAGAGCTTTTTGAATTGAAAAAAGGAATGTATGTATACTAGTGAACGAAAGTCAGAGCATGGGCTGAGAGTTTCAACCCCGGAAATTTGACTTACAAAAGGAATGGACGATGACCGTCAGGGCCAAGCACTACCGAGGCGTATAGAAGAAACTCGCGCACAACAAGCGAATGAGGGTATAAAGGAAGGGATGCTTTCAACGTCTTGATGGCGAAACATACCCCAAAGATATCGCTCAGGGATATAAAGGCATCAGAATCTGTCAAAGATGTGATGTAGATGTAGATTTGTGATGTGGAACTTAGAATCGACCCCCTACTTGTGTACCGATTCCCTCTTCCACGGGCAATATAGCTCCTAGGAAGCCACGAAGTATAGTAGGGTGAACGCGTCAAGAGTCGATACTCGTTTCCGAGACATTAGCTTTCAACATCCCAACGTGTCGAGATAATCATATATAAATAGAGAGAGTATTTTTGGTGGTTGACACGAAATTGGGAGCAACCGATTTTAAACCGATCTTATGACCCGCATCTCGAGAAATTGATGCCCTGCTCGGATCGATGGGAGACCCGATTCTGGGGCACATACCAAAGCCGGTAGGAGTTGATCTGTGTTTGGTGTCGTGTCATCTCCCGTGGTTTGGACTTGTGAATCTCCAAGTCTAGCTCGGATTCTGTCCATCACGGAGGGGAGTCCCATTAAAGAGGGCATTTGGAAGGTATTCCTAACCGCTGGGGGTCCTGGCCGCGTCGCTGGAGAGTAGTTGAGGCGTGTATCAAGTTTGATGCTCGGAAACCTTATCAGTCTGGATTGATCCCGCGACCGCCCCCCGACCGGTAGGGATTCGGCCAGTTCATTTCGTTTCGGCCGTTGACTCGAAAATCAGATGGATTCTCCAGCGAGAAGGTAGAAAAGGACTGTCCCGTGCATC